GATGGGTTACCTCCATTTGGCGACAAAATTGTCTAAACTTTTGAGAAGTGTACGATGGCCCATTGTCTGTCTTAAGAATTTTAGGCTTCCCCCAGGCACTCCATGCCTCAAGGCAGTGTTGAATAACATGTGCTGCCTTTTCTCTGGTCAACGGAGAAGCAAATATAATTCCAGAATAAGTGTCAATGGAAACATGTAAATATCGTAATTTGCCAAAGGTTGGGATGTGAGTAACATCCATTTGCCAAATCTGTAGTGGCCGAATTCCTCGTGGATTAATTCCTACATGAGGCACTGGTAAAAATTGACAGCAATTCTGACATTGAGTAACTATATCTCTAGCTTCCTTTCTAGTTATCTCAAACCGACGACGTAACATCTCTGCTGTCACATGAAAGTTTTTATGAAAATCTTTGGCCAAATCTAATTTGGAAGATAAGGCGATAGCAACCAATTTTGTGGCTCGATCTGCTAGGTCATTCCCATGAGACATTGGGCCTGGTAGACCTGAGTGAGCCCTGATATGTGTAATAAAAACCGGGAATCTCCTATTAACTAAGGCGAATTGAATCTTTTGAAAAACTTTTACGAGTCTACTAGATGGTCTAATTAGCCCAGCCACTTTTAAGGCTTTAACTGCATTTACTACATAAAAGGAATCTGAAACAATATTTAAAGGGCCTGGAAAGGTTTCAAGAACCTCCAAAACTACCAAGCATTCCACAACTTGAGGTGAGGTCTCATGATATTGTTTGGCAGTGACCTTATTATCAATTACATAAGCACCCACACCTGTCTTTGACCCATCTGTGTAAACAACCACTCCATCCGGGAGCGGCTTTTGAGATAAGACATGTGGAAATACAATAGCTTGAGTTAAGGCAAACTGTAAAATGGGATGTTTAGGGTAGTGATTATCTATTTGACCATTAAAGGAGGTAGCCAACACGGCCCAAACATCAGAGGTAGCAGTTAATATTTGAACTTGATGTGCAGTATAAGGCACTATTAAAACTTTAGGCTCCCTTCCAAAATGAGTGACAGCTGTTTTTAATCCCCGTAAGGCAAGCTGAGCAACCGCATCTGGATACCATTCAATAATCTTTGCAGGAGATACATTAGGATGAATCCATAATAAGGGCCCATCCTGCCATAACACGGCAGTTGGTAAATGTCTGGTTTTAAAGACACACAAATTAAAAGTTTTGGTCTCATCAATGCGTTTTAGCTGAGCTTCTTGCAAGGCATCCTCCACCAATCGCAGGGCATGGTTTGCAGCCGGTGTTAGCGTTCTTGGTGAGGAAATATGGGAATCTCCTTCCAGAATGTCAAACAAAGGTTTTAATTCAGCAGAGGGAATTTTCAAAAATGGTCTTAACCAATTTATATCACCTAATAACTTTTGAAAGTCATTTAAGGTATGTAAATGATCTCTGCGAATTTCTAATTTTTGAGGAACTATTTTCTCAGGGTAAATAACTGTCCCTAAAAAGGAACCAATTTCTGAAATTTGAACCTTCTCTGTGGCAATATGCAGACCCCACTGTCTTAATGTAGCAATTAATAAAGGATATGAGTTCTGTAAAATGGTCAACTCTTTATGGCATATTAAAATATCATCCATAAAATGAATCAAGAGTAGAGAAGGAAATTGTTTCTTAACAGGTTCAAGGGCCATTTGTACATACAGCTGACACATAGTAGGACTATTGGCCATGCCTTGAGGCAAAACTGTCCACTGATATCTTTTGTCTGGTTTAAGGTGATTAACAGCAGGTAAGGTGAACTCGAATCTTTGCCTATCTTGCGGGTGTAGGGGAATGGAGAAAAAGCAATCCCTAATGTCTATAATTATTATCCTCCACTGCTTAGGTAAAGCAGAGAGCAGAGGCAGGCCTCGTTGCACTGAGCCAAACAGCTGCATCTGTTTATTAATGGCCCTTAGATCATGGAGAAGTCTCCATTTTCCTGATCTCTTTCTTATAACAAAGATAGGGGTATTCCAAGGAGAAGTAGAAGGTTCTAAATGACCAAGCTGTGCCTGTTCCTCAATCAGCCTTGTAGCAGCTTCCAATTTCTCAGAGGATAGGGGCCACTGAGGAACCCACACGGCTTCCTCTGTAAGCCAGGGTATGGGCAAAGAGCCCTCAGTGGCAACTAGGGAAAACCCAGACCTTGTCTTCCTGTATTACTTTCTTGTGAAATTGGGTTTAACCTTCCTTGTTCTTTTCTGCCAAGGCCTTTTCCTTCCTTATATCCCATTCTTTTCATAATATTAATAGCTTGTTGAGAGTACTCATTAGTTAGTGTCAGTCCCAGGTCTTGTAAAATGTCTCTTCCCCAGAGGTTAACGGGAAGAGGAAGCACATAAGGTATAAAGCTTCCTGTCTGACCCTCTGGCGTCTTCCAAGTCAAGGAGCGTGAACTGACGGTAGGGTTGGCCTCATATCCCAACCCTTGTAAGGAATGGGATGACTGTGTAACAGGCCACGTTTTAGGCCACCAGTTAGAGGAAATAATACTTTTATCAGCTCCTGTGTCTAAAATTCCTGTAAAGCTCTTCCCTTCTATTGTTAATTGTAAAGTAGTGGTTTTGAGATCCACTACTAAATGAGCAAAGTCAGTTCCTGAAGAACTGAACCTATTGGCACCTCTTGGCGCCCCGGTGGATGGAAAACAATTATGTAAACTTGGAATAACCAATTGAGCAATCCTATCTCCAGGGGAGATAGAAAATATGCCTTGTGGACAAGAACAGAGAACTTGAAGTTCCCCTGTATAATCTTGGTCTATCACACCAGGATGAACCACAAGCCCCTTCAGGGTAAGAGAGGAGCGGCCTAGAATGAGGCCAACGCTTCCCTCAGGCAGGGGACCTTTAAAATCAACCGGGATAGGTTGCACACCCTCATGTGGCATTAATAAGAATTGGGAGATAAGAGCGGAGGTCCAACCCTTCGGAACCTCTTGTAGCTCTGCAGTTAGAGGTCTCCCCCAGTTGTAGGCTTGTGTCCCATATTTTTTGGGGCCCTGAGACATTGGGCCCGGATATTCGTTTTTTGAAATATTTTCATCTCTTCCTATAGGGGAGGGATCATGTTGAATAATCCTTCCCTGAATGTCCTTAACCGAGCGACATTCATTGGCCCAATGATATCCCTTCCTGTATTTAGTACATAACCCAGGGGTTTTCTTTTGTATAGGAGTACGACATTCTCGTTTTAAATGACCCGGTTTACCACAATTATAACATACTTTACGGCCGCCAGGACTTGAGCGGCTCTGGCCCTGCAGGATAGCTGCTGCCAGGCCAGCGTTAGTCAGTGGGCCTCCAAGACCTCGGCAGACCTTTATCCAATCTGTCAGCCCTTTGTTTCTCCTAGGGGTAATAGCTGCCTTACATTCTGGTGAGGCATTTTCATATACTAATTGCTCGATCAATGGCTTGACTTGCTCTGGGTCTCCGAAAATTTTGCCTGCTGCTTCTGTCATTCTAGCAACAAATTCTGAGAAGGACTCCTGGGGGGCTTGTAATATTTTTGTTAAATTTCCTCCAGCCTCGCCCCTTTTCGAGAGGGCCTTCCATGCCTTAATTGCGGCGGCGGAAATCTGGCCATATGCTCCCCAATCATAGTTAGTCTGGTCAGCAACATACTGTCCTTGCCCTGTTAATAATTCGAAAGTCCACTGTCTCTGATTGCCCTCCGCATTAGCGTTGGCCTTTGCCTGTGCTTGAGAAGCATCGTGCCACAAAGCCTTCCATTCCATATACTGTCTCATATTAGGGAGAGCAGCTTTTACTGTGTTCTGCCAATCATTCGGAGTCATTGCCATAGTGGCAAATCTCTCAAGCTGCATAATTGTAAAATTAGCATCAACTCCGTATTTGTTAACCGATTCAGCAAATTCTTTGATAGAAGCATACTCTACAGGTGCGTGGACACGGCCTCCTCCCGCGTCCTCAAACACTGGAAAAGCTTGTAACATTTTTCTCTTGTCTTCCTCTGAAAGGAAGGAGCCTGAGCAGCGCCTGTCCACAAGAGGCGGAAGTGCGCCGGGAACATTAGGTTGGGAGGGCGCTACAGGCCTAGAGGCCGTCCGGCTTCTATCTCTCGTTTTCCTCTGCTTTAGATTTTGCGGCGGCAACTGTTTATCTGGCTGGCATCTTTCCTCTTCATCTATCTCTTCATCTGAGTCCTCTGAGGAAGTTATCCCCTCCGACTCAGAGGCATCAAGCCCCAGCACTTCCTTTACCGGATAAAGAGATCTCTTTCTGAGGCTTCCTTTTCTCCCGTCTCTCCCAAGAGTGTTCTTCCTCTCATCTTTCATCCCCGTGAATTGGTTCTTGGGGAGGCTTGATTTCCTTAATATGTCTCTTTTCTCTTTTCCTTTCTGAATTTCTAAGCGCTTCCTTCCTTTCTCTGTTTCTGACATGCTGACTTGTAATCCATCTACTATTCCCCGAACCCTCACGAGAACCAAAAGGAAGAAAACTAACGCTGCTAGCACCATGGCGAGAGCCTCTAAAGTTCCTGCCAACTGGGGAGGGAAGTGAATTAAATCAAATCGAAACATATCTCTCAGAGAACATTACCTTGTTCTACGGTTCTGGATTCGCTCCACGCGTGGAGGGTCTTCTTAAACAGCGCCGGTGATGGTAAATTCTCCCGGGTTTCGGCACCAACTGTGCAGCGCTCGTGTAGTCGTCTCGCCGGCAAGAACGCGCACACACGCACACACGCACGCACACACACACACACACACACACACACACACCAGAATCCTTCCGTATGAACACGTTTATTCCCAAAAACCAAAATGGTGGAAGAAGACCCCCAGGCCTGGGAAAGCACTGCTATATACCCTAGAGCGGTGTATTCACCTTTGATTGGCTGCTTACTCGTTGCGTGCCAAACACCGTGGGATGGGCTTTAACTTTGGCGGGCTTTTACCATGGCACATGCGCAATTTACTTGTTTACTAGGAAGAATTATGGCTGATAGCGCCACCTAGCGATGGTGGACTTTGCCAGCACCCGCCGCGGCTCCCTACATGCAACAGCACTGCACAGCTCAGGCTGGGCTTATGAGTGAAAACATTAACTTCAATCTGCTTCAGTTCTCTATGGGGCATTTGAACATAATGAGGTATCTACCTGGTAGTTTAAATCACACAGGTTGTCTGCTCATTCCAGCTACATCTACTAAGAGTACACATAGCAAGTATTGAGCCAGGACACCCAGTAGATCCTATCATACACCTCACTCTCCTGGGGATACGAGATTTCTCAACCATGTGTTGGACAATTCTGAGTTGCCAAAGTTTAGAGCAATTAAGAGCCCTGGCTGGCTGCTCTTCTTGGAATTAGGTTCAATTCCTAGCATCCATGTGGCAGTTCACAACTCTAACGCCAACCCCAGGGGGATTTGATGCCCTCTTCTGGCCTCCATGGGCACTGCATGCACATAGTACAGACATGCAGGCAAAAGGTATAAAAGTTTCATAGATAAAACTAAGTTTTTCAAAAAGGCTTCTTGTATTGATATTGTGGCAGGTTTCAGGCTAGAGCGGACACATAGAAAACTAAGTGGAACTTAGTTCTATGGGTGCATAATTCTCATGGTCTCATAACTAATTGGACTGCCTCAAAATTCATCTGTTCCTGCTATAAAAGGACAAAGAAAACTAAAGCCTTAATTCTATGCACAGCTGCATACCTTCTCTTCTGGAAGTCGGACCAATTCATCTCAACATCCAGAGCTGCAGAAAAAAAACAGCACAGGTAATTAGACCCCCAACCATTAATTAATAAATGAAGCCACACATTGGTATTGACATTAACTTTTTTTTTTTTTTTTTTTTGCAGAATCTTTAATGTACTAACCAGTACATTGGGTACATCTACTCAGGAATGTTTTAAGACAGTTTAAAATGCAAAGCCAGATCTTCCTCTAAGTATTAACACATTCATCAATGCTCCCATTTATTATTTTGTGTGTGCACACAGGTGTGCTAACACACAAATGAAGGTCCAAGAATAACTCTAGAGAGTTGGTTCTTCCCACCAAGCCCCAGAATCAAAGGTAACCAGGCTTGGCACTGCTAAGCCCTCTCACTATGTTCCATACACCCTCATCTAATTTAAAAAGACATGAGGTGACTGCACTGAATTCCTGCCTGTTCTGTTGGCCTCAGGTAAATCCTTTAACCCATCATGGCAGTGTATCCAGTCAGGTTAGAGTTCTCATCCTTGGCCAAGAATTGTCCCTGGAATTATGCCTGGCCAGTCAAACACACCATCTAACACACCTTAAGTTCATCAGCATCCTGGACACAGCACCGCATCTGCTCAAAAGAAAAAAAAAACTCAGCAATGTTACAAGTACCTGGCCAGAGCTCTTTACACAAAGGACCTTTCTGGTGGTTACTAATTGCATCTGATGACATAAATCCTGCCTCTGACTAGCATTCATTCCTGCACAGAGTTCTGATCCTCACACTTCTGACAGCTGGGAGTCCATTTCATTTCCTCTGGGCCACCATTCTAACTAAATCCACCCCAGAAGCATAGACCCTTACTGTTTAGAAACAAAACTACTAACTACAGTATTTCTTTTTTCTTTTAAAGATTTAATCATGTATACAGTATTCTGTCCATATGCCAGAAGAGGGCACCAGATCTCATCATAGATGATATGATTTCAATGCCACAAGCAGCTCTAAACTTGTTTCCTGAGACTGAACAAGGAAGTCCTTACCCTAAAACTTGCTGTATCCACAGTCCTAAGTTAGACAGTGGTTCATGCTCTCATACTTCTGTCAAAACAAATGACTCAATAGAAACATAACCCCTAACAGAAACAAAACTTATCACTCACTTGCATGTTCCCTTGTTGCACTACTAGGCAGAGCACATGAGGTTGTCGTTTTACTAGAGCCCACAACACGATGTTCCCTCTAAAATGGCCTTCATCTGGCATAAATGCCCATAGATCCCAACACTCGGGTACTAGGGCAGAAACATTTCCTTGGCCAGCATAAAAACATGTCTCAATAATTTAATAAATGCTTTTTAAATTGATGTCTCATTCAGCCTACACACCGCAATTTCAGAGTTTGCAAATCAACAGAAAACTACAAAGTGGCACTTTCCTTACTTTCTCACATCTAATTTAAGATCTTCACAATGTTAAAGCAGTAGTGAACAGGCAGGACTCCTGGGTGCACACTAGAAACCTAAGCCTGGTTTTAGGTACTCTCCAGTGAGACAAAATGTTTCAACAATATGGAGCACAGAGGTTAGGCACCTAATGCCTTGGACAAGTGCCCAGACGCTCAGATTTTCTACCAGGGCAAAAATCCAGACAAGCCGGATCTGTGTCAGAGGAAGGGTAATCCAGCTCCTGTGGGCTCACAGCTCCCTGCTCTCGGACGACGCCCTCAAATCTTAAAAAAAAAAAGCACAAAACAAAAAGCCCAGCCTCTGTGCTGAGCCGCATTTGAAGGATACATGCGGCGAGGACATGGCTGCGTGGGCGACATTCTTGCTAACACCGGAATTATCCTGCTACTCTCAGATCTCTGATCTCATTCACTTCCTAAATAGGCGATGTCCCTGTCACCGGACTACTGGGCCAGCAGGAGCCCCCAGCGTGCCCAGGACCCGGGCGGTCGGGAGGCCGCGCCTCCACCCGAAAGAACAAATCCGGGCTGTGCGAAGCTGATCGCCATCCCACACCGAAGGGACACACACGGGACGTGAACCCGCACGCCCGGCGAGCATTGTGGGGTCCTCGGAGGCCACGTGGTGGGATCTTGGGATCCGCAAGGCGGACAGTACTTACCAGGAGTGCGCCGCGTTGGAAAAGCAGGGCACCAGGGCGGGACCGTGTTTAAAACAAACCGGACGTTGAGCACCGGGGCTCAGCCAACCACAGAGGCACAGCGCCCTTCTTCCCCGCCCCTTCCCCGGTTCCCGCCTGATTCCAGCACCGGCCCTCGTGCGCCCCTGGTGGCACCGGAGCCTCTCAACCTGCCCCTACCCCAGGGCAGCAGTCCCACTCACTGCCCTGACTGCAGAATCTGTCACCTCACTGAAGATTAGAGGAGCATCTTGGTACCACCGCAGGGTGGACATTTCTTTTTCTTCTCCCTGTGCTTTTTAGTCATATATTGAATTTGGTATTATTCCACATCGTTTGTTGCTTATTTTTATTTGAAGACCCATATGAAAAGACCCATATGTAAAGGAATTTTTTCCTCTCAAGGAAAGTGTAACATCATGGAGATGTCAGGACTCTTTTAAGAGAGGCTGATGCAGGGGGAAGACCCCATGGCTAGAAATCGCACGATTGGCTGTGCACTTACATTGCTGGCCAAGATCTGTAAACATCTTGTCCTCGAAGCCCTTCTGTGATCCAGGAAGCATCTGTGTGCCTGACACAATCATGCTTGGATATTTGGGGGTGGGGGAGGGGTTTCCTTGGATTGTTTTGTTTGTTTTTGTTTAGTTCGTTCCCCCTCCCTCACCTCAGCCTCCAGATGATGTCTCTCCATGTAGTCCTGGCTGTCTTAGTGCTCCCTCCTAGACAGGGCTGGGCTCAAACTCACAGATCTGCTTGCCTCTGCCTTCCCAGTACTGGATTACAAGCATGAGCCACTACCCTGCAGGGTGGCCCCTCTTTACTAAAAGCAACTGTTCTTCTAACAGGGGCAGATAGAAATCGAAAATGAGTGACAAAGGAGTAGGGAGAGATGCCCAGGACTGTGACCACTGTGTTTTTAGGCATGGGAAGGATTCCTTTCAGTTAGTTTCAGAGGTGGTCCAACTGATACCTTGATTTTGGACTTCTGGCTGCAAGCGCTGAGCTTGCGTTTTTTGTGAAAGCCACTAGGGGCTTTGTTAAGGCAGCCCAGGAAACTACCACAATGACTGACAAGAAGGGGTTGAGTCCTCCCAGTGGTTAAGGCTAGCATCTCCTAAGGACCCTCGTTTCCCTGCCCACTGCTGTTCATGCTGTGTGCACTTGCAGCTACCTCAGTGGATGACTGTGGAATTACTCAGGTGGTGAGGAACACCATGATGAACATCTTAGTCATGAATGCCCGAGGTTAGGGACTTTTTTGCTAGACATTTATAAACTCATAAGGCAAACCAATGTTCCCATCACCCAAAGAGCTTGCATTCTGTTCTAAAGCAGGAATTCTCCAGAGGGAAAACTAAGGGTAAGAATTAGGATTGGGAGCCAGGAAACCAGGTAATTCCATGCTTCCTATAGGGGGATCTACAAGCCAAAGGAACACTGCGGGGCCACACCTGGAGTCCTCTGCCCTACTTTTACAAATATTTTCTTTTACCCACAATTTCTCCCAGAAATTTTGAAACTTGAGTTGTTCTACTAAATGGAGTTGAGAACATTTGAGTTAGAAGGATGGAATTTGCTTTTCGTTTCAAATACTATGACTGGTGTTGGAGATGTGTATGCATTATTTTCCCATTGTGTGAAAACCACCATGGCCAAGATAACTTACAGAAGAGCTTATGTGGGCCTGTGGTTCCTGAGTCCATGATGGAGGAGAAGGCACAGCAAGAAGAACAGGAAGCTGAGGGCTCATACCTTGAACTGGAAGCACAAAGCAGAGAGAGAGATTTAGGAATCACACAAGTCTTTAAACTCTTTTTTTTTTGTTTTTGTTTTTCGAGACAGGGTTTCTCTGTGTAGTCCTGGCTGTCCTGGAACTCATTCTGTAGACCAGGCTGGCCTCGAACTCAGAAATCCACCTGCCTCTGCCTCCCAAGTGCTGGGATTAAAGGCGTGCGCCACCACTGCCCGGCTGTCTTTAAACTCTTAAAGCCCGTCTCTAGAGCCAACTTCTTCCAAGATCATTCCTCCTAAGCCTCCTCAAATAGTGCCACTGAGTGGGCACCAACCAGTCCAATGCCGGAGACTATGAGAGACATTCCTCATTCAAAATAAGATCTTACTTTTGGAAGCACAACTGAACCTGAGGGCATATCAGAAGCAGAGTTGTCCTGAGGGGACAGTGAGCACTGGAGGAGAACTTTCTTCTTCAGTGAGAGCCAAGAATTCTGCCCAGAGCCTGGAGTAGATTCGAATAAAGGAAGAGGACACTGTGTTCTGGGGGCCTACAACCCAGCACTCAGGAAGAGGCAGGGTAGTCTGACGATCAAGGCCAACCTAGTTGCCTAGCAAGATCTTGCCCACCTGACAAAAGAAGAAATGTCACCAAGGAATACTCTGTCATTTATATGCTAAGGCAGTGGCTATCAACCTTCCCAATGCTTCAACCCTCTAATACAGTTCTTCATGCTGTGGTGACCCCCAACCATAAAATTATTCTCTTGCTACTTCATAACCGTATTTTGCTAGTATTATGATTCATGATTCATAGTGTAAATATCTGATAGGCAGGATGTCTGCTATCCCTCCAAGGGACTGAGACCCCCAGACTGACAACCACTGTGCTACAGTAACTGAGTACTCATATCCTAGGACCCAGCAATGTTTTGTTTTTCATGATCATGATCTGGCAAGGTATGCTGCATTCTATGACAGAGGTAACATCCTCACCTCTCAAATATCCTCTCTTGGTGGGGTTTGATCTTCACTTACCCAGTGAACTATGTTGCCTTGGGATTTCCATTGCAATGAAGAGATACCATGACCAAGGCAACTTTTGTAAGGACAACATTTAATTGGGGCTGGCTTACAGCTTTAGAGGTTCAGTCCATTATCATCAAGGCAGGAACATAGCAGCTTCTAGGCAAGCATGGCACAGGAGGAGCTGAGAGTTCTACATCTTCATTCAAAGGAAGCCAAGAGCAGACTGTTTTCTAGGCAGCTAGGAAGGACTCAAAGCTCACCCCAAAGTAATACACTTCCTCCAACAAGGCCTCACCTCCTAATAGTGCCACTTCCTGGCCAAGCATATTCAAACTACTACGTATGTGTACAGCAGGAACCTCGGGGCATTGGCAGTGTTTGGCACTGTGTTAGGCTCAGGAACAGTCTGTCCCTAGTTCCACCGTCTGCTAGATCAGAGGTTAATGTTAGGGTTTCTCTCAATTACTCTCTACCTTACTTTTTGAGACAAGTTCTGTCACTGAACTTGGACCTTGCTAGTTCAGCTAGATTCCTCACCAGCAGGCCTCTGTAGACTGTATGGGCAGCAGAGAGAAGGGCCATGGGAGGTAAGGTGACAAGGCAGGTCAGCACCACAGGACTCAGTGGCCAGCACTGGCAAAACTTTAGCTTTCAGACCCCAGTTGATTATTTTAGATATATTTAAGCACAGCACTATCTGGCAAAAACTATCCTTATGCTGAATAACTCAATACCACATGCACAAGGAAGCATACCTAAGTCAGTCTCCTCTCTCTCTCTCTCTCTCTCTCTCTCTCTCTCTCTCTCTCTCTCTCTCTCTCCTCCACCTCTCTCCCCCTCCCTCTTTCTCTCTCTCTCCTTCTCTCTCTGTCTCTCTGGCTTTTCAAGACAAGGATTCTCTGTGTAGCCCTGGCTGTCCTGGAACTCAAAGTCTGAGATCCTCCTGCCTCTGCCTCCTGTGTCCTGGGAGTAAAGGCATGGGCCACCACTACAGGACCATATCTAAATCTCTTTGTGGAACAGAGTAATCTAAAGACATATCAGATGTGACTACAGCAAAACTCTTTGTAAAGTACGTGTGACACCTTCCATAACAATAGGTTCTGTAGCTTGACTGAGGAATAACAAGCTTACATGAATGGGTCTGGAGGTGAGTCCAGTACCAGGAAGTCTTCAGCCAAGCAGATTGTGCAGAAGTCACAAAGCTAGAAAGTATGTCTGCTCCAGGCTTCTGGGGGGAAAACAGGTTTGATTTTACACTCCTTCTCTTGAAGAAACAACCCTGTGTGCTTAACATCCCAGGCTCCCCTAATGCATGCCTATGAGTACAAAGACCACCATGCCCCCTTTACCTCCCTAGCACTGGTATTAGAGACAAGTGCCTCTGTAAAAACTGTCCCTCCCCACTTTAACATGGGTGCTAATTTTGAAACCCAGTCCTCATGCTTGCACAGCAAATGCTTTACTGATTCAACCAACACTGAAGCCCCTCATTTTATTTTTAAATAAAAAAACAACATAAACAGGCAACCTTCTTGACATTCCTTAAATGGAGACTGACATTGTCACAAAGTATCTCTTCCTATTTCTTTTGTTTGTATTTTTTTTGTTGTTGTTGTTTGGTTTGGTTTTTGAGACAGTGTTTCTCTGTGTAGCCCTGGCTGTCCTGGAACTCACTCTGTAGACCAGGCTGGCCTCCAACTTAGAAATCTGCCTGCCTCTGCCTCCAAAGTGCTGGGATTAAAGGCATACACTACCACTGCTCAGCTTTTCTTCCTATTTCTAATAGTACCTAGAAGATGGAGAGGTGAGCTGGAGAAGAGAATCACACTTGCCACTGATTCAACCTGAAGATATATTGTTGCAACTATCAATTTACCAACTGTTCAGAATAATCAGGAAGTAACAGGCCTGGGGACAGAGACAAAAGAAGTGAAGAGAAGTGTGTAGTGAGGTGGCTGAGTGGGTCAGTACTTGCTGAGTTCAATCCCAGAAGCCAAGGAAGGGTGGAAGGAGAAGAACAATGCCTCAAAGTTTTCCTCTGATCCAAATATGTACATTGTAGCATGTGCTTGTCTAAACACAGACACACAAAGGCACACATGCGCTTCAGGGTTAGGGTTAGGGTCAGGGTCGGGGTCAGGGTCAGGGTCCGGGT